GTTCTGAAGGGTTCGACTTATCCCTGATGGTTCTGGGGATCTGGTTCCCCTGGGGCCCGCATCTCCACTGTGGGCCACAGTGGGCCCCAGCTTTGAGCGCAGGAGCAGAAGGGACCAGGAGACAGGTGCTGGAGAAGAAGAGAGTAAAAGAAGAAGAAAGAGAGGCAGAATCCTGTGTGCTCTGTGGTTTTCTCTGTCCTCACAGGGAGGGGGGTAGGTTTTCACACCTCTGCTGGTTTCCATGTGACTGCTTGTGACTGCTTTGGCTGAAAACGGGTGGGCTGCTGAAGTCCCCCAGCTGTTACTCACCAAAGCTGTGTTTTCTTCTCTGGTCATCCTATCAGGATGAAATATGGACACTGGTTCCCACTGTCCAAAAAGTATGATCATGGCATATGGCATAACACCCATGATATGATGCGTAGGTCCTACCTATTTGAATCATCATCTGCCGCCATGTGGGCTCCTACCCTGTGGGATTACACCCTTGAGAGGTGTTGAAGGTACCTCTTACCAGGGGGAGGCCCAGGGGATGACCAATTACATAATGGAGGGGACAGGGATTGATTTAATTAAAAATGTTTACTGAAAACTCTAAGTTTTCTAAACCATAGATCAGGGAAACTCTGAGTTTTTAATTCACAAAGAGTTTACTCAACCTCTGTTTCTGTTAGTGTAGTAACATTCCTCCCAGAGCTAACCGGGTCAGTATCAAGTTTTGTTCAACAAACTCAGAGTGTCCTCTGTCTCTGTTCTCCTTAAAGCCAAACAAGCCGTTTTATTTTTTTATTTAGTCAGGAGATTTCTGTCTTAGTTTTGTGCATAAAAGAATTAATAAAACAAACATCGAGTGTTCTTTAGTGTCCTTTATTAAATAATGATCGGCATTAATTCACAGAGAATTCTATATTTATAGGATTCTACGTCTCAGTTGACAGTATATGAGATGTATTTGTTTTGGTTTGGTAAATATGAGCAACATGCAGATAATTTCTTTATTTTATATTTACAGTAAATGAAGAACTAGTGAAAGTATTTTTAGATTACAAATAAATAGATTAACTCGTTTCACATAAAATTTTGTTTAAGATTAGGATTTATTCAGCGATAACAACCTAATGAGCCTACTGGCACAATCTGAAGCCCGTAGACAAGAAGATCAATAGCTTTTCCGGCTTGTTCCCAAGGTTTACCTCCACATTTCGCATAAACATCTACAGCATTTTCTATTACTGCAGAAGGGAAATGTAAATCTAAAAACCAAACATCCCTTTCAGGACATGGTCTAGACCACAT